AAATGATAGAAACACAAAAGGGAAAAAAAACAAGGAGAATCCGGTGGAAAACACGCCACACAAAAACATTATCGTGTCAGCCCAAGTGGAGGTTTGAGCCTTTATTCCCAAGAAAGAGAAATGAGAAAGAGAGAAAAAAAATTACACTGCAAAGCCCAGGAGAGGCACCACTTTTTCATGTCTACCTAGTGACACCCCGCATAACCACCCCAGCCACTAAGACACAGAAGCTCCAAAGGTCACGTCAGCTTAATCTCACGACCCAGTCCACAGTGCGAGACGATCGAAAGGCTCCTCGTGGGACAACCGAGGAGTCACGACCCTGTGCCCACCCCGCACCTCACCGAACGAGCCGTCGGCCAGCACCTCCAGCGTCTCGGGAAGGCCTCAGTCCTTTTGAACCTCCGCCACCAAAAGCAATTTCACCTGAAAGGCCGTATTTTGCAGCCAAGCGTCAGCCCAGCGGGTGGGTTCTTCCTGTCAGATTCCTCTACTCCGGCCCGGCAGTCGCCGGCGAGGCAGAGAGCTGACGGCAACGCGGCGCAGAGGGCTCTGCAGGAGATCACCTGCCCAGAGACCACCAGGCACAGCACAGACCATCCTAAGGGCCAGCCCAAGCGGGTAACGCGCTGCCCAGAGGAGCCAGTCAAGCAGGAGGCGTTTGTGGTAAGTCACCTGTGCCTCCTGGAACGCACCACGGCTAACTTAAAAATACAGGGGGTTGTAAGGTGACCAGTCTGAGAAACCAAGACCTTGCTAATTACTGTTTCTAAGTCACGTCAAATCTTGTCAGCAAGGGAAACTTCTACATGTCCTGCGGAAACGTAAGGGACTGATTCTATAGACAGCAGGGTGGTAAAGTTCTCCCCCAAATTAGAGGCACGAATGCCGTATTTTTCACGATGCTGTATAATACCTGACTTTCGTGCAGAACCACATCCTCATTTGGTGAAAGTTCTCCAGAAAACGTGCTCCCACCTCTGATGGCACGAGCGGCAAACGACAGGGGCGTCCTGCAGTACGCCGAATTAATAAACTCCCTAAGACATCACTATAGAAGGCCACTGGGCATGGAGCCACGGCTGAAAATGTACACTCCCAGGAAACTCCTAAATAGTCATTTATTTGAGCAAACCACGCTCCTTCTTCCTACACAGGCTGTTTCAGGGGCACCCTGCTTGTGCCGAACTCTTGGCTTCAAGCAGGAGACAACACAGCACTAAGGGGAAGGCAGCACAACCCGTTCTCAGTTGAAACATGGGCTTTTTGGGAAAGGAAACGGTGCAAAGCGTGGATGTAGCACCAACACCTGAGTGACACGGATTCCTTCTGCTCCTCACCCCACAAAAACCAGGCCCACGTTAGGCTGAGCAGACCTGTACATTCGCGTACGCACCCATCGTATTTTCCATCGCCTTCTGAAAGGAACTTAGAAATTGAAAAGAAACATAAAGAAAAGGTTCTGTTCAATGGATTGGATTGATTGTTACGGTTTGGGGAGGGTGGTTGTGTTGGGTTTTTTTTCCAAAGCAAGCTGTAGAACACACATAAAAGCTTCTCTGAAGCCCCGTGTGAAGCTGCTGGCAGTTTTGCCCCTGGGATCAAGATCAGTAGCAATACTGAGGAGACACGTACAAGGGTCTCTCCTTCCATCAAGGAGAAAACCTAAAGCTGTCCAAGGTGAGGCACAGACAGAGAGTTTGGAACTCCTTCCATCAAAGGAGCTGGAGCAAAAATAGCCTAAATCCAGTAAAAAGGAGAAAGCGCATTAAAAAGTTTGAGGCTTTTCTCTCCTGCCATTTCTCTCCCTCTCTTTTTCATCCAATAGCACATTTGTAAGAACACTTTCCAGTTCAGAGGGGGTGGGAATTTGCATCATTTCATCATAACTCCAAGTCCAAATTCTCTCTCCCAAGTCTTACAAGGAAAAATAACTGACAACTGGCAAAACACCAAGCAAGCAGTGTGGGAATGCACCACAAAATGCTCAACACAAACCACCGCCCGCAGAACAACAAACTGAATGCGGAGAAAACCACAGGGTAACTCCATGTCCGGGGAGCACCTCAGAGTGAGGACACTAAGGAAGACAACGAAGGTAACGCCACTGCAGGCGTGTCTTGTCCGTTCCCTTCTGTACAGGTAACAGCCTCTCTACAAACTGCTGGGGAGCAGCACAAGGCACGAACTGGTAACCAGTACCGAGCACGCAGCGCTGACGTCTAAGTGAAGCCTCGTGCTGAACTCAACAGCCCAGAAAGGCGGCCTTCACCCGGGCCTGAGGGAGATTTACAATTTTGAGTAGCTATTCGAGAAAGCAAGGCAAGGGACCGGCAGCGAAGGAGTACCGAGTTACAGCCACCGCAGGCGACGCGGTACCTCAGGTTTCAGGGAGCGCAGTCATTGCAAAGTGGTTTTCAAAAACCAAACGCTAGACCACGCAAATCCAGCTGAAGCCAAGGGAAGCTGCACAGAAATGCTTGCAAGTTTGATCCAAAAAAGCCAAATAATTTCAAAACGGCGGAGAAACAGAGTCTGCACCCGCAGAGGAGTCTCACAAACCCTCTGACCCACTCCTTCATGCGTCCGCCTTCGCCCTCCCAGGGCGACGGGTTCTGCTGTCACCACTTCAGCCCCAGGGGCAAAAATCCCCGGGGCAGGCTGAACTAGAGATTTCAAACCTACCGTGAAGTCACGGCGCACGAGCACAGTACCACGACAGAAATTACCCTGAAGTTTGGACTCCTTCTCAAAACTAGAGTGACACGAAGATATAAGCACTGAAAGCTCTCTTTTTGAAAGCTTCCCATGCCCCACCCCCTGTTTTAAACACTTCAGACACAAAGTGAGTTCTCAGTATTCTTTAAGGCGTAAAGCACCATCCCCTCTACTAGATGGAATGAAGGAAAAGTCAGCAAACCAAAAGGACTGGGCTGTTAAAATTTATCAAGTCAGCAGCGACAGGAAAAAACCACAAAGCCACTGTGAATTTCTCAGAAATTGCCAGAAATCCTAAGCATCAAAGTACACACGATGTGTTCCAACAGTAGCTACCGTTTTTTTTTCCTAATGTATAATATTAAAACCAGGACTGCAAGTCTAACAACACAGGAAGCTCTTTGCTTTGACCAACACCCTGCCCACACATTTAGGTATTACCTCCAGCCAGGCAGCACAAAATCACCCCCAAAGCCACCTTATTAAACCCCGAGACGTTTATGATCCTGAACCATACAGCATTAAGGGGTTTTGTTGGGTTTTTTTGTTTGTTTTTTAAAGAAGCCCCCCAGCCGCTGTTTTCTGGTTAGTGCTGACAGCGAGTATCCGCTCGGCAGCACGTGAGACGTCCTCACGAAGGGAATTTAGGATATTTGGCAAAAGCACAGCCAGGCCCTACTGTTACTGTACACACAGCGCAGGTGAGGAGCTCTAAACAAGGAGCCACCGTAGAAACAGCTTCTTGTCTCACCAGGTTTGACAAGAGGAGGACAAACCAGACGGAAGCAACGCAGCGTGATCAAAGGTGATTCACGGTAACGGAACTCACGCAAGTGCTCCGTGACACCGCCGTTATTTAAGCTCCTCGGGGCGCCTCTCTTTCATCTGTTAGTCTGTATTAACCAAATCTGACGAGAAAAGAGGTATCAAAACCACGGAGATCTGCAGGGTCTAGTGAGCAGGGCACCTGCTCATGAAGAACCACCTCATTAGCCACCACCTCCAGGGGAGGTTCATAAACCGAGCCTCTGGGTGCAGGATCTCTCGTGACGCATCGGACAGCAGCCTCGGCCCGTGGGCAGCTCGGACCCCGTCTGGTTTCTTTGCCAAGTCAATATAGTTTGAAGAATCTCTCAGGTCACGGCCTATACAAACGTGAATATAAAACCTGCCGTTTTCATTAATGTGGAGATAATGAAGCCTGTCTCCCAAACTCAATTTGTTAAATATATTCCCTTATCTATTTTTTTAATTCTTACTCTCTTTTTTTTTTTTAAGAAACCCGCTCACAGTGCTGTTGAGGTATGCTAAAGAGTTCCAGCGATCAAGTTAAAAGCAGTATTTGGGTTTTAAAAGAAAACTTGCACAGAAAAAAAAAACCCAAACAATTATGGTTTTAACGTAACCTTGAATTCAGACTTGAGCTGACGTCACTACGTGACTGAGCTCCATCCCACGAACAGCCACAAGTTTACCTTCCCTTGTCAGGGCTAATGAACTGCGAGAGTTTAAGATTTGTTTTGTATTCAGCAACCCTTCTGCAACGCCGCCTTTGCCGCCAGATTAATCTCTAGCCCCACCACTTTGAAACACCCTGTGCAGGTCCCAGAGGCTGCCCTAGAGAGCCTTAAGATTAAGTCAGTGAAATCTCAAGTCACAGCTATCGCATGAGCCGGAATTAGCCTCAAACTTTAACCAGCGGTGGAAGGGCAAGGGAAATTAATCTGCTGATTTATAAACCAAGTCCGAAACAAGGCTGCTGGCGGGGAGGCCCACAAGTAAGGTCAGTGAAGGATTACACCCCTGATCCGTTCAGTCCGTGTCTCTACACAAAAGGAACAGGTTAACTGCAGAGCAGCACTATTGAGGAAGTGGAACTGATTTGTCCTCTTAGATACTAACAAAAGCCCCAAATTCCAGACAGTCTAAGGTCTCTGTGCTTTACAAAACTCTTATCTAAATACAGTATTTGACAGTTAGGTACAAAGTTTAAAACCTCCATTATTCATTCACCCGTGTGCACTATATGTAAGCAAACAGCCAGGGAAAGGAAGTTTCTTGGGCTTGCTGCAGCAGCACCAGGAGGAAGGGGGAAAGCCCTACAGTTAAACTGACCTTTTTTTAAAAAAAAAATCCCGCTCTGGCACAACGGTCTTAATGTGACCCGCACTCTTGCTGCTAAACTGTACAGAAAGCGCTTTGCACCCTGCTTGCCTCAACACAGAACCTCTGACCGGCAGCAGCGCGGGCTCCGCGCGCCAGCGAAGCGTCGAGGTACGTACCAGCTGTCCTCCTCTTCGGGGCAGTTTTCAAGTTCTAACACTTTCACTTCATCCAGATCCGCGCCGTTCGACAGGCTTTCTACATCTCCACAGTCTTCGTCCGGATTTTGTTCGTTCGCTTTAACGGAGGCATCGAGACCTGCGCCGACCACGCTCCCCCCGAGCTCCGTGCCGTCCCTCGCGCCCACACGCGAGACACACCTGAGGTTACTGGCGGCCGTCGCTTCCGCCTCAGGCACGCGGGCAGGGCGCTCCTCGGCGGCGCTGTGGCAGTTACGTTGCGTTTGGGCACCCACACCTTTTTTTAAGCAGTTGTTCTCCCCTTCCTCTTTCCTCATTTTGCTGAGCTGGCTGCGCAGATCCGCCACGAGCTGCAATTCTTGCTTCTCAGTGATCGCGTTGATGCTGTTCTGAATTTCCAGCCCGTTCAGGCCCGAGTCATGGTTAGCCACACCAGTACGGATCTCGCTCGGCCTGTTCGGCCCAAGAACACTCCTGCCACTCTTCGTTCTCGGGTGTTGGTTCTCGATCTCCAGTCTCCTCACCAGCTCCCGCAGCTTTCGCACCTCCTCCAGCTCCGGGCCGACCTCCTCGGGCGCCGGCTCCGTGTCAGGGCCCATGGCAGAGTTCTCCGTTGAGTGTCGTCCTAAGTCCGGCTCCAGAGCATGATCCTGCTGGATGACGGGGGCGCTTCCAGGCACTACCATCATCCAAACCGCACAGTTTCACTGCAACACATGAAAAACGTATAAAAGCTCCACAAAGTTGCGCGATATTTTAAGCAAAATGGAATTAAATGCCAATAATTCCGACTTTTATAAGCATAAACGCATTACATTAGGGTACGAGGTGACTGAATTTAACCAAAACCTACTGAAAAAGACCAACTGAAATCAGCATGAAACATTTCATCAAACACAAAGTACTCGTTCTAATCAGCTAGGATGTGCAGCTGCTGTGCCACAAATCAGACTCTATAAAGGGAAGCGGATTTAATCACGCACAATAGTTTAGTTTCCACCTGTTTACCAACAAAATGCGTGAGAAAAGCAGTGACCGAGCAAAGTCAGGAAACGTAATTAGCAAGGTGCTGACGTCAGACAATGACAGCATTGAGAAAATGGTAAAAACATCCTTTGTTCATTACCAGGTTTATCCTAGAAAAGCAGGAAAAAAAAGAAAACAACTCGAAAACATTTCTGTATCAAGTCATAGCAAAGACTAACAACAAGGAGCAAGGACAGGATCCGCAGTTACTGCGCTACATGAAAGTAAGCATAACTAAAGCCTTTCCTGGTGTATTTTCCTTACGGAATAATAAGCAAACACCGATTTTCCCCTTCACTAGTGATTTACATGAGTTTCCAGTTTCAATGTGCACACTCATTTCAGAACCAACTTTTCACTGAAAAGCCCGTAATACGCAACTGATGTTCCACAGAGCAAGAAAAATGGATTCCCCTAAAAAAAAAAGAGAAATCCTTGCTGCTCTGCAGGAGGAGGGCAGACGGACAGGCCGACAGAAGGAGCTGGACGCCGCAGCCAGCTGGAAGTTTAAAACGATTCGATGTGGGCACTACAGCTGCACTGGAACCCTGGTTTGTGGTGGCTGTAGATGTTCTTCCCCCCTTCCCTTTGCTGTCTGAAGATTTCTCCTGGGTTTAAGGCCTAACAGCCAGCAGGTAGAGGAAACCATGAAAATTAAGTGTCACAAAAGGCAAGAAAGGCTAAAAACACAGGCAACCCCCAGGCACGCCGTAGCATCTCCCTATTACATAGTTACTTGTAACAGCAGTAGCTGAGTACGTTTCCTAAAAACCAGTTTTCTTCTCTGTTTTTTTCACTTGACAGATTTTTTTTTTTTTAACTTTGGTCCTCTACATGAAGATGAAAATTTTAGGCTTACGTTTGAATTAATAACGAACACGAACAGCACTTTGGGTGAGCTGTGAGCGAGCGGAGCCGACTGCAGCGCGCTTCAAACACAGCTTTCAAAATCCTGCCTGCGAGAAGCGTTGCTGAAGTCATTTTGACTCCGGGAGAAGAAATTTAACGTGTCGTTACCGAGCAATCCAATTCCCACTGCAAAAATCTCCCCGCACGCGTTCTGGCTCCTATGAAATCACTCAGTCTCTGGATGAGTAACGGAACTGTTCTCCTTCCCAAAGCCATCTCCAAGCTGTGGCTGAGGATGCACCAGCGGGGAGTTTGAGAGTTCTGCTGTCAAAGCAAAACACAGCGACCCAAGGAGGGCAGGGACGGGGGGGCGGGGGGAAGCAATGAGATCTGTCACCTGAAAAATTAGTTCCCCTCCAAGGCTGAGGAGCAGCAAAAACTGCATTTTCCTTCACAGGAGGGGGGGAACAAACAGATTCGAACCCTTCAGCCTTTTCTCACGACCGGTTAAGTCTAAAAACCACACAAATAAAGCAACGAGGATATGGGGGGAGTGGGAAGGGGATATAAATCTGCAAAATTTAATTTCACTGTAGAATGGGCTGCCCTAAAAAACGGAGAAAGAAGAACGAAGCCGCATTTCAAGCCTGACTCTGCCGGAGACAATAATTCGGACTTTTTCAAAAAAAGACATCCGGGTTTTTACCGGCAGGTTAACGGGCTCTCCTCCCCACGGCGGCCCAGCTGCCGTCAAGGGGG